AGACAGCTTCAGCCTTGTGCATCCCAGGCACACTTCTTACCCACGGCATGGAGTGGACCAGTGGGTAAGCAAACGGAGAGGGCCAGGGCTCTCATCCCTGCCTCCCTGCTAAGCTATGACGGTCACAGCTGTCCAGCCTCCCAACATGAGAGGTCTCTCTATAAGTAAAGATTCTTTAGAAACAGAGCAAAAAACTACAATTACTCTGGTCTAGCAAGGACCTAGGAACACACTCTTGACACTTTAAAATGTATGGTACTTAATACTTACACAGAGTTTTGACCAAAGGTCCTCAAAATACACACATCATTGATTTTCCCCCCAAGCTCACCATTTGTTAATGGAGGCACCGTAAGGGAAACGGTGAAGGCAGTCACAGCTACAGCGGGACTTCGCCACTTGCCCACAGTCTTCTCAAGATCCAGAGAACGGGAAAGAGAATCACTTTGACTTCTCCTATTGATGAACTAGACTTGCCTTTAAAAGAATAGCTTCTGCTGCTTCTACAAAGCCACCTGTGGCGGGGCTAAGAAGGGTGTCAGGTGCGGAGTGAGGCCCAGCCTGGAGGGCTCATGGAGGTGGGAACCCCACAGTGAACTCTGGAGCCACGGCCTCCGAGTCTTTGGCCCCGCCGCGCAGGTGGAGAGGGTGGGAGCACAACAGACCTAAGGGCTGGCTGCGGGTGTGTGGGGAGGACCGGATCAGCGAATGGAACATGGTGAGGGCAGCTGAGGTGCTCTCCAGACTGAGTGCTGTGTTTTACCTTCCTCCTCTTGGATGCAAAGGCTCCTCACGTCTTCAGCCTAATCTGCCTTCTCTTTCCCTTCTTTAGACTGAAAAGAATCTGGTCTTTGGATCTCCTTCTCTGCTTTTGGCGTTCCAAATGGATTCTGTCCTGGCTCCCAACTGTGTTCTTGAGATGACGTAGTCTCTTAAAATTCATTTGTTATTTGTGATTTTACAAAAGCCCAGGAAGTGATAATGTGATTTGGATGAGCTTCTGGCCTCTGAAGACTAGAATTCCAGAAGAATCGGAAGACGTGGACTGAACTCATCTGACCAGACACTGGGTCTGGGGTGGGGGCCTATGATGAATTGGGTTATTAGTGAAACAGACCCCCGGGAAGAGAGGCAAGAGCAGGAAGCATTAGGAATGTGGGAAGAGGAGGCCCAGAGGGATTTCTGGGGACTAGATGAGGCATTAATCAACCTTGCGGGTGGATTTTCTTTGCAGACATTTTGAAGGAAACAGCTTGATTTGGGGTAAGAAGGTAAATATTGAATTCTATTTGGTAAACCTTAAGGATCGTGCTTCCTCAGGCTGACCACCCTCCCCTTCTCGGTGCCGTTCCTCCCCCACCCTGCCTGGAGGGATGTAAGAAGCCGGACGGTGAATGTTCCCCAACACCTTCCGCGCTCTGCGGCTGGTAGATAGATGGCCAAGCAGAGGCCCAGGTTATGGATTTGCAGCCCATGCTTTATGGGCTGGAAGAGACTATTTTTTGATCACTGCAAAGACAGGAACAGTCTTTCTTTAAGATAGATGTCCCAGCCACTGTGGCTATGAAAACTTCAAGGTCACTGGAGGAAATGCTGGACAGCATTTATGATGTCAGCAGGAATGGCGACCTAAACAAATCACCCACCATGGAAGAAATATGCGAGAAGCGTGAGGTTTAGTGGACAGCGCCCTGGGCCCAAGAGAACCCCTGCATGCAGGTTTATCATCTGCCCACAGGCGAAGGGATGCTTTCTCCGTCCTCCCCAATGATGCCGCCACGGAGAGACTCAGGTTGGAATCTGTAATGTGATCTGTGTCCTTAGAGATGCCTGGCATTTTATCAAAAGAACACAACTGTCCTTGTTATACATCAATAACTTCATTCTTAAAGGGCTTATGGTTTTGTCAAACAATAGAAACTATTCAATCCAAAGTCAAGAATAATGCTCTGGTCCCTGAAAATTAATAACACCCTACCTTATTCCGTTAAGATAGCTTAAAATACGTATCTACAACAACAACAAAAAAAAACCCAAACCAAACCAAACGCTGGGATCCTGAGAGGAAATCTGACTAACAGAAATGAGAGCAGGAAAGCCAGGAGTGGGGATGCTCTGTGTGGACTCCCAGTGGGTGGAGACTGCTGGCACCCACCCAGCTCCGTACCAAAACTTTCCTTGGTGGGACTGCACAGCCCTACCCCCTTGAACTTCAGTGAGGCTGTGGGAGTCATTCTGGCCAATGCAACACAAATGAGACAACAGCCGGCCCTTCTGGGTCTTATCCCTAAAATCTCCTGTGAGATACTCTCTACTGCCTTCTCTCTTTTCCTTGGATGCTTGCTGAAGGCGAGGACCCAGTGGAGGGCCTGGAGGCTCCAGGAGATGGAGAAGCCCCTAGAATGATGGAGAAATAATTGAACCAACGTCCTCCTGTACTTTGTGTATGACATGGATTTGTGAAGCCAGGATCACAGTTTATCAAGACAGAAATGAGCTCGCACAGCAAATGGAGTGGCTGGTTGTTCTCTAGCAAATAACATGGGCCAGGAACTTAACAACAACCAGAAAGGGTCACAAAGTCCCTCTGCTTTGGGGGTGCTATTGTGAGTGGGGAAGGATGCACAGAAACCAAGTCTGACCTGGTCATTCTCATTCCTCTTATTAATGTTAACTGCTACCATAGGCTGTCTCACCTCTAGCCCTGCTCTACTGGGAGCACCTTCCTGTCCAGACCACCCTGCACCACGGCCACCATCACCACCACCGCAGCCGCCACCCCGCCCATGTGACCCCCTTCCTCTTCCCTAGCACCAGGCGGCCACTGCCATCACGGCCATTTGCAACACTGACACCACCATCACCGTCTATACCAAATCTGTGACTACCACTACCATCATCACCACCACAAGAAGTAAAGACAACCCCTCACTGAGCCGCGCTATAGTATTTAGACCCTTGGGTAGTCCACCTCCCTTGAATCTGGGCTGGCCTGGGACTTGCTCTTGACCCGTAGAGTTTGGTGAAAGGGACTTTGTGTGACTTCTGAGGCTGGGTCACGAGAATCTTTCCAGCTTCTGCCTGAACCTCCTGAAACGTTTGCTCTCAGGATGCTCTCTCGTGGGACCCATGGAAAGGCTAGGTGTAGGCTATCTGGTTGGCAGCCCCAGCTGAGCTCCCAGCATCAGCGCCAGTCACGGGAGTGAATGACCACGTATATCCAGCTCTGTCGAGTCTTCAGATGAAGCTCAAACGGACGTCCGACTCCAACATCCAGAGATACTTGCTGTCTGAGCCCATGAACCCTCTGAATCATGAGATGGAATAAGTTCTTGTTTTAAGCTACTGGGGTGGTTTGTTCCATGGCAGCAGATAATAGAAACCACCACTGCACCACCATGGCCGCTCACTGCCGGGTCACGTACTCTTTTGCCATAACCGTGGCTGCCATCTTGGTTCCCTCCCTGCCCAGCACCAGCCGGGCTCTCCCAGGGGCTGCTACGGTGCTCGGTGTTCTGCTGCCCGCCTCACATAAGGGTCATGACAGCCCTGGGGACTAAACAGTCCTCTTTACCGAGGAAACAGTAGAGGACTCAGAAGGTCCACTGAGCTGTCAAGGTTGTCCAGCCATCCCGTGGCAGAACTGGGATTCAGAACCACGTCTCCTCAGGGCTAGTATCTCATGGCTCTTTACAGTTTCATTGCACTGCCTCCAGAATCACGTTTTTAGTGTTAGTCCCACTTAAAAATATGTTTCAAAAGAAGGAGATTTTGAATTTGTCTGGTCAAGAGGAAAAAACTGAAAAAGGAGCTCTTATCTTTCATGGTTATTTTAAGCAAGTCAGCATGCTCCTGCACTAATACTTTGAGACTGGAAAACTTAAAAAAAAAAAAAAAATCAACCCATGGACAGAATGATGTTCTCTGAGAGAGGCACCGTCACCGTGGGTCCAAGACAACTCAACCTAATCCACCTGTCCAAAGAAAAATTAGCACCCGCAATGACTTTTGTCACCTTCAGGGCCCAAAATCATAATCCCTGTCCAGTTTCCTTTTGTCCTGGGTACACGAACAATGTTAACAACAGAAGAGACAGGCATGTTTTGCTCTTACGACCTGGTCGTTTGTATTTACGGCCCAGGCTCTGCCCATGTCTGGCGCCATCTCCAGTGCATAGGCTCTACCTCCACCACCTTCTGGTGAGGTCCCCACCCCAGTGCCACACTCCTGCAAGCTGACGCCACCCGGCCCACCCTCCGTCACCACACACGGGAAGGGGCCAGGGCTACTTGCCGAGTCTGGAAGCATAGTCTGGTCTGGGAACCAAAATAATTTTTTGGTAAACTTTGCAAAAAGATTGAAGTTCAGCATCGAAAGGGCGCTGTGTTGTTCCCACAATCAGAATCCTGTCGTCCGGTTTCAGGAGTCTCAGGATTTTGGGAAGCTGTTTTTTGAGGCGTTTAGGCTCGATCTGGGAGAAAGAGGGAGAGGGGGAAGATGAGCCCATGAACAGAAAAAAGAATTACGGATGGAAGAACACTTATTCTTAGAAGGCACCGCGGCATGCATGTGTTAGAGTGAACCTCAAAGCTCAGATAAACACGATTCTCAGAGTTCATGCTGGTCTGGGTGGTTTGAATTGCATGCTCTTCCTTTCCTCTACCTCTGGCGTTCAGATCTGGAAAGGGGGAAGGAAGGAAGGAAGGAAGCACCTGACTGATCTTTCTAACACCTCGACCCTCAGAATGGGAAGCAGGGTGGGCTTCCAAGCAGAGGGAAGCTGGCCGGAGCAGGGCCTCGCGGTGGTGATCCGCCTTCCTCTGAACTGCTCTGAGGGTGAACCCCAGACTGCCTTCGCCCACGGCCCTGACAGGAAGCCTCCGAGGGCCTGGTTCTCCTGTCTGAAAAGCACCTGCTTACAAAAGAGTGTGATGCTTCTCTCTCTGAAGCGGTTTGGAAAGAGTCTGAACGTGTATTATTTGAGGGAGATGAGCAATGAGGGAGAGGAAGGAGCAAGATGCAGGGTACCCCAGGGAAGATGACTTCCAGCCCGTGGGGGTCAGATTTGGCCACATTGCCATGGCAACGCACCAGCTTTCAATTAGCCTCCACTGGCACAGCCGCGCGAGGAAGAAGTGTAGGGAGGAGGACAGTGGGGTGTTGGAGAAAGCCTCCGCCGAGCAGCCCTGAGGGTCGCGGCTGCTTTCGCTCCCACTTGGCTCAGGGGTGATTGATCCAATTAGAATCTGAATGTTGAGCAGGACTGAAAGAAGCCAGTGCATGGCTTTTCTGGAGCAGGAGCGGGCCTGAGCTCGCTGGAACATCCTGCAGGGACCGTCCCCTGTTGCTCGGCCCTGGTGTCCCCGTGGGTCCCTGCACAGCCCAGCCCAGCCCAGCCCAGCCCAGCGACACCCTGCAGGCAGGTAGGGCCTGTTACACCTGGGGGAGAGCAGGTGTTTCATAAACCCAATGCTCAGGAATAACAGGGAACGGCAGGGCATTGAAGCCACAGCTGGTGGGTGGGGTGACAGTGCTGGGGACGGTTTGCCGGGCCCCTGGGACAGGGGTGCTCATGGGCTATGATACCGTGTTCCGCAGGATGCCCTTCGTGGGCCCCGCAGAGCTGGGAGTCAGAGCTGGGTGCACCAATTTCTCTGCACAGTGGAGGGGGAGTCAGGTATGATCGAGGACCCTGGAGGGCAGGGGCGCCCCAGGGGAGCTGCACAGCCAGGGGTGACTGCTCTGCATCATGAGGCTGTTGTCCGTGCATGTCCGCAGCGGCGGTTGGCATTCTTCTTTTTCCTTTCTTTCGACCAGCGAGGAGGCCCGGTTCCACGTCTGCATTGACAAGGTGCAGGAGGGAGGCTGGGTAGGAAATGGCAGGTGCCCAGAGGCTGCACGGCCGTTAGGAGGAAAGAATGATGGCAAGCTGCAGAAACACGGGGAGCTCTGGCCCCAGCAAGGCACGAGACCAGGGGTTTCCATTGCTCTCCAAGGATAAGGCAGGAAGCTGGTCCTCTCCGACATTGACCCTGCATTTACCACTTCTTTTGTCCAGGCTGATTATGCATCTTCCAGCCGAATAATCCTAGTAAGTAGCAGCTGGTGGGGGCTTACTGGGTTCCAGGTACTTCTCTCTCCACGACATGGACTCCCCCACTGAGTCCTCAGAACCTCCCCCGGAGGGGACAGTCCCCCTCACTCAGAGATGAGAACCTGGGGCCCAGAGAGGCTGAGTGATGTCCTGAGTCCCAGAGTTGACAAGCAGGACCCAGACTCCCAAACCTGTGCTCCTCCCTCTGCTCTGCTGGGGTCCCCCCTCCCAGAGGGGATGTGCCGGGGGCTTGCGTGCCCCCCCCAGCCCGCTTCCTGGGTAAGGGCCTATCTCACTTGAGGGCTGCAAAGGAGACTTAAAATATATATTTATTATTATTATATTGTTATGTCATATTTTATTATTAGATATATATTATTATGATGTATCCATGTCAGCTTTATTGAGGTAGAATTCACGTACTATACAATCCATCTATTTAAACTGTATAATTGAGTGGCTTTTAGTATATTCACAGAGTTGTGCAAACATTGCCATAGTCCATTTTAGAACATTTTCATCATCCCCCAAAGACTGCCCAGTAGCAGTCACTGAATGTTTCCACCCTAACCCTTTCCTCCAGACTTAGGCAGCCAGTTATCCACTTTCTGTCTCTACAGATTTGTATATTCTGGATATTCCATAGAAATAAGATCAGCCAATATGTGGTGTGCATGTGCGCACGTGTGTGTCAGTGGCTTCTTTCATTTCACATAACATTTTTGGGGTTCGCCTATGTTGTGGCATGCATTCATACTTCGCTTTACTTGCCACATGATAGCCATTGTCCAGATAGGCCACATTTTTGGCATCCAGTCATCAGTTGATGGGTATCTGGGTTGTTTCTACTTTTTGGCTATTGTGAACAGTGCCACCATGAACATTTCTCTCGGGCACACACACAAGAGTTGAGTTGCTGTGGATCGAATAGTTACTTTATGTTTAACCTTTTGAGGAAATGCCAGACTTCTTTCCAAAGTGGCTGAGGCTCACATCTCCCTACATCCTGTGAACACTTGTTATTATGTGTTTTTCTGTTCTTTTTCTTCCGCCTCCCCCTTTTTTTTAATTTAACTACCTTCGTGGATGTGAAGGGGTATCTCCTTGGGGTTTTGATTTGTGTCTTTCTGATGGCTGATGATGTTCAGCATCTTTTCATGTGTTTATTGGCCATTTGTTATCTTCTTTGGAAAAAGGCATATTCAGATCCTTTGCCCACTTTTAAAATTGGGTCATTTTTCTTTTTGTTATTGAGTTATAAGAGTTCTTTATATGTTCTAGACATAAGTCCCTTATTGGATCTCTGATTTGCAAGTATTTTCTTACATGCTCTGGGTCGTCTTTCCACTTTCTTGATGATGTCCTTTACAGCAAAAAGTCTTTAGTTTTGATGAGGTGCAACTTGTTTTTTCTTTTGTTTTGTGCTTTTGGTGTCATATCTAAGGCATCATTGCTTTATTTAAGGTCACAGTGATTTATGCTTCTACCTTCTTCTAAGGGTTTTAGAGTTTTAGCTCTTTCTTGTAGGTCTTTGATGCATTGGGGGTTGATTTTTGAATATTGTGTGAGTTAAGGGTCCAAATTTATTCTTTTGCGGGTGGCTATCCGATTGTTCCAGCGCCATTTTTTGAAAATACTATACTTCCTCCATTGAATTGTCTTGGCACCTTTGTCAAAAAGTCAGTTGATTGAAAACGTAAGGGAGGGTTTATTTCTGGACTCTCAATTCTATCCCATTGATCTATATGTCTCTTCTAATGCCAGCCCCACACTGTCCTGATTGTGGCAGCTTTGTGGTTAAGTTTTGACACTGGGGAGTGTAAGTACTCTAACTCTGTTCTTCTTTTTCAAGACTAATCTGGCTAGTGAAGGTCCCTTGAATTTCCATATGGATTTTAGGATCAGCTTGTCAATGTCTGCCAGTACGTCAGATGGCATTTTGATGGGAATTTCACTGAATCTGCAGGTCAGCTTGGGAATTCTTGCCATCTTAACAATATTAAGTTTTTAAATCCATGAACTTGATGTATCTTTCCATTTGTCTAGGTCTTCTTTAACTTTTTTCAACGTTTTTGTAGCTTTCAGAGTCGAAATCTTGTACTTCCTTTGTTAAATTATTCCTAAATATTTTATTTTTTGATGTTATTATAAATGGTTGTTCCTTAATTTTAATTTTTGATCTTTCATTGCAAGTGTATAGAGAGAAGTTGCTTTTTGTGTATTGATCTTGTATCTTGCAACCTTGCTGAACTTGTTTATTAGTTCTAATGCTTTTTTAGTGGATCCTATAGGATTTTCTCTATATAAGATCATGCCATCTGCAAATAGAGATAGTTTTACCTTTTTTTCCCCAATGTGGATGCCTTTTATTTCATTTTTTCCCCTAATTGCCCCGGTGAGACCCTCCAGTATAATACTGGGGAGAAGAGGTGATGTTGAGGGAAAAGCATACAGTCTTTTGCTGTTTGTTAGCTGTGGATTTTTTGTAGTTGCCCTTTATCAGGTGGAGGAAGTTCCTTTCTTTTCGTATGTTGTTGAGTCTTTTATTATGAAGGGGTGCTGGATTTTTGTCACATGCTTTTTCTGCATGCGTTGAGATGAGATGGTTTTTGTCGTTTCTTCTAATGACATAGTACTATATTAGATTAATTGATTTTTGGATGTTAAACCCAGGGTAAATCCCACTTGGTCATGGTGTATAATCCTTTTTCTATGTTGTTGGATTCAGTTTAGAGGAGACTTTTTATAATGTAATTCACAGCAGAGAAAGAGATGGGATTTTTACAGCAAAATAAATCCCGGAGGCTGGGCCTGAGGCCAGACCACCAGGCATCTTCCTATCATTTCCGCCTGCACCCCCAGGAATCCAGAGCCTCCTTTAGCTCCACCAGGAGGAAGCAATGGCCCTGTATGATTCCATCCAGGAGAACAGAGATGCTTAAAAGAGGGGAAAGCACAGGAGAGGGTTGATGGAATGAGACTTCCTGGAATCCTAGAAATGGACAGCTCTCACAATGAGGCGGAAGGTCTGCTCATGAGAGGGCTGTTCCTTAATCCCCACCCCAGATCTTTGTGGAAACCTGCCATCTCTCAGACTCAGCCTCTGGGCTGTCCTGGGACGGGGAAGGGTGCTTGTTGGGCCTTTACTTTGATGCTGAACTTAACCTGGGGGCCAGGCTATGTGCAAACTCCCTCTCCTCCCCACCAAAAAACAAAAACAAAAACAAAACAAGCCCAAGGAAGAAACTCCAGAACAATAGGCAGATGGTATGGCAAATAGTTAAATGCATAGATTTTGATTCAGACATATTTGATCGCAGTCTTGGCTCTGCTCTTAACAGCTGTGTGACCTTGAGCAGATTGCTCAATTTCTCTGAGACTTAGTCCCTACATCTGAGAAACGGGGATAATCACAGAGCCTAACTGACAGGGATGTTGTGAGGATCGCGTGGCATAATGTGTCTGTCTGACAAAGTGCTTATTAAGGGATAATTGGTGTCTTATTCTGCAATATAAGTGCTGGTAGGAAACAATGCCAGGTCTGCTCTACTGAAGAGCAAAGTTTTTAAGAGACAGAAAAGCTGGGGGCTTTGCTATTTGGAGGAAACTAGCAATTTGCCAACAGAACTCAAAATGAATGTCTAAAAATCTCCCATCGGTTTCCATTATGGTAAGTGATAATTCTTCATCTACTTAGCTCTGAGAAACTGCCTTTGGGCTCCATGCCACTGAAGAAAGCCCTCTGCTGAGATTCTGGAAGAAGAGACCTCATAGGAATATCTATACCTATGCCAGGAAATATCCTACTGCACTTGGATGAGGCTTAGAGAGTTTGGTGATATTCAGGGTTCATTTTACCAGAGTGAATCCAAAGCCCTCTTATGAAGAGTGGTTATTTTAAATAAAACCAACCTTTTGAAAATGCAGGAGCAGCGGCAGTTTGGGTGGTGGGTAGTGAGGGAGGAGAGTTTGGGCAGGCTTTGCAGCACTGTGTGGGAGGTTCCCCAAGGATGCAGGCACCTGAGCCTCAGGGCAGAGCACTGGGCTGGGGATGGGGTGGGGCAGTCATTGGTTTGGGCGTGATTTTTCAAGCCATGAGATGGTGCCCAAGGAGGGCAAGGAGAGAGAAAAGGGGTCACGGGCCTGGGATGGAAACTCAAGGAGACACAGAAGACACAGAAGGAGACACAGAAAAAAGTGTTGCTGGGGTATGAGGAGGCCAGGGCTATGGAAGCTAAGGGAAAAGAGAGTTTTACGAAATAGTGGAATTTAATCATCTTGAACATGGCATAAAGGGAGAGCAAGTGAACCAAAGTGCTTGTTGGCAAAATGGATGTCAAAGAAAAACTTTTTGAGAGCAGTTTCGAAGGAGTTGGAAGGCAACAAACGGATGGTGGTGGGTTGAGGAGTGAGCGGGGATGGTGACAACAGACTGGTCTTTTAAGAAGCTTGATGGAGAACAAAGCAGATGTCAAGGGCGACTGGGATGTGCAGGGCGCATGGGGGAGCTTCCCAAAGGCTGGTGGAAGCAGGACTGACCCCAGGGCCCCAGTGACGCTGGAGACTGCCGCTCTCTGTGGTGAGAGCCATGCTTGTGTGGTCTGAGCCCATCCCCAGCAGCCTAGTTGCCATGGTGATAGTGGTGCCGTCTGCCTGTTCTGAGGCAGATGATATTGCTACCTGCACGTCCTGAAATGGCAGGGACACCTGAACTTAATTAGCCTATTTGGATAACAAATGTTGATCCTGGGCCGCATCTAGGGTGACATCCTTGCTGATGGTGAGGCGTAGTCTCGTTAGGAGGGGTGAGAATGAAAGACGAGCCCATTCAGTCAGCACTCCCCTGCACCTGGGCCACCCCTGTTCCAGTTCAGAGGCCTGTCCATTATGCACGAGACCCTGGCGCCCGTCCATCACGCCAGCCGACATCCCCACAGTCACCTGGCGGCCTCCACAGCCGCTGCCTCTGTGGCCGGTCTGCCAGTCCCCACAGAGGGCAGTCTCAAATTAGGGCTTAGCATCCACACAGCAACTGCCGTTTGCTGTTCTGCAGTCGGCCTCCACAAAAGCCTACTGCAGCCAGCTCCAACAAAGCGGGAGCGTCCCTCATGGAGGCCTGTTGCGACGTCGGGAAGGCTCCTGCTCGATGGAGTGACGAAGGGTAATGGTGCAGAAAATGCCGCCGCAGCCTGTCTGCTCTCATTGTTTACTCCCTTCGCCTCGTCCACAGACACCTGCCCAGCTGAGTGGAGAGGATGCTCCCAGGAGGAGGAGAAAGGAAGCGGGCTGCGTCCAGGCCTCTGTCTGGGCCGCTGTTCCTGAGGGTGGCCGGGGTGGGGCCTGCTGGGAGCTTGGATACTGCCGAAAGTCTAGAGGTGAAGGACTTTTCAGGGTGTTGAGGACAACGGGAGAGGGCGAGGGTGTGAGCAGGAGTGTGGGGACTCTGGATCAGGGCACCTCGTCTCGAAGACCAGAGGGCCCCACGGGCAGTGTTCAGGATGTGGTCTGGAGTGGCCCGGGGGTGCAGGAGGTGTGGTGGGCAGACACGGGTGTCCACGTCGTGGGTGGAAGCATGCAGGAAGGTAGAATGCCTGGCACTCAGGGGCATCCCAGCTGGGAGTGCCGTCCAAATGGGGAGGAGGGCTTGGCCTCTGCATTCAGACAAACCCGTTTCTGGGTCCCGGCACTATCCCCAACACGCTGTGGCTCCTTTGGAGCCTCTGTCCTCTTGTGCAAAACAGGGGAAGACGGCTTCCTTCCCAGAGTTGCTGGAAGCTTCCGTGACATAGGAGTTGTACCCCTGGGAACCTCTGCTTCCCGTTCACAGCTGTCCTAGGTGTTGGGCCTGGGGTCCCTGCACCAGGGAGCTCAGCTTCCCAGGGCAGAGCCAAGCTCAGTAGCCATCGCGGCCAGCCTCGACTTCTTTCTTGCTTTGCTGCTGTTGACTGGGTGATCCTCATACATTCTGCCACCTTGGAGCCTTAACCTAAAGCTTGAGGCATCAAGCGGGGAGTAAGTCACTGTGAGACTTTTTTTTCCCAAGGGGAGATTCTGGAATCCCTCCAATCCAGGTGGCAGCCACTGTGGGGGGTCTGTGTTGTAGCTGTGGGTGGTGGGCTTGGCAGCCTCCTAGTTTCTTTGCAGATGGACTTTCTTCCCTGCGCCTCAGTGCCGTTGGGATCGTGGAACTTTTGGGACAGAGGCTGGACCACGGTAGAAGGAAGGCTGTTGGCTTTCCCAGGGGTGGCCGAGTGAGCAATGAGAAGCTGGTGTGATGCCTCTGGCTTTCCTGTCACCTGTGGATGCAGGTGCTGCCCTTGGCTTTTGGTGGCCACCTTCAGAAGGCAGGGGGACAATGCCCCAGACAGCTCCGGCCTTGGTGGCTGAGGGACTTGGTAAGAGCCTAAGTCAGAGGCTGGGTGGGGGAAGGAGATCAGAGGTGGTCCAGCCCTGACTCCGGAATTCCAGGAAGGCAGCAGGGGCAGCCTGAGGGGCAGGCCCAGGACTTGGGGGGTGAGCGGGGACACCTGTTCCCATGTACAGCTGGAGGAGGCACTCAGTGGTGTCCCCCCGCCCCCCCTCGCAGCTCTGTCTGTGTGGGATGGCTCAGGACGTTTGGGAACCCAAGGAGCCCTTCTGTTTGCTGACCCTCAGGTGTTCTGGGAATTATCTAGGAAAGTGATTCATGCTCTTCAGCACCGTTAATTCCCCTGACAGATGACAGGCTCGTCTAATGCGGAGCTGGACAGAACAAAGGTCCTATTTGTCCACTGCAAAGACTCTGCCACCAAAGGCCTTCATTTCTTACCGGACTAACACTAGCCCATGGCCATGTTTGTGGAATTGGAGCTTGGGCTGAGTCTCTTGGGATCAGCAACAGTAGGGCCAGGTCAGGCGGGAGGCCCAGAGACACCGTGCTTGTCTCTCTCCTTTGCCAGCTGCCTGCCCTGCACAGGGCCTCCCTTTGTGGGAGGTGTCTGCCGAGCCCGCATTTCATTCCCCACCATCAGCCCTGCCCCCCAGGGCTCCTCTGGGTCTCCCCGCAGACTCTGGGTGCAGATGCTGTGACTGCTGGTAGCAAAGCCACAGCCTGAGGGGGTCATGGCAGAGAATGCGAGGGGCGCCCCATGAACTGGAAGCTGTGCTCTCTGGAACCCTTTAATTAAGTTGTTAAGGAAGTGGGTGCTCAGAGAGGTTAAGTTACTTGCTCACAGACACACAGCCAGCTCAAGTGGATGGCAGAGCGAGCCCGGAACCCAGGTCCCCTACTCCCCAGGCTGATGACCAGTGGGGGCGTGAGGAGCGCTTGCCCATTAGGACAAAGTTTCTGATGACGTCGGGTGTGTGACACCTTGGATTACACACGCCCCGCACGCCTCTTCAGATTTCTGATCTGGCTCATAGTAACGCCTGCCTTCACGTGTTCATACGTGGGGACTTTCTTCCATGTAGCAACTTGGCCAGCAGAGGGAGCGAACTCCCAGATTCCCGGATTTAATAATGAATGAGTCCTCTTAAGAGTTCCTGAAATGACAGGGCAATCAAGGCTCATTTGGGGAAGAAAAGATGGAGCTTTCATTCTTTATCCAAATCATCTCTACCTGCTAAAAATGATGTATAATACATAAGGATCGAGAGTGATTAAAATCCTTATGAATTTAATCAGAAATTCACAGTTAACCACTATTTGCTTTGGTGCAAATTGATGTGGAATAACAATCATGTGTATCTGCAAATTTTTTTTTAACTTGTGGGAAATTTGCTGGTGATTTGTGGGGGGAAGTTCGGGGGAGGGGGGCCTTGTGGGAGAGAAACGAAGGAAGGAAGCAGTTGAGAGCGGGCTCCCCGGGGGCCCCAAATGCAGGCACTTAGCAGTTCTGTCGAAGGTCTTTGTTCATAAATTTCAGGCCTTTGCTATTTATTATTATGAACAATAGGAAATCCTAATAATAACTCCTATGTGTGCCATTTGCTTTAACCAAGGAAAATTCTCTGAATTGTTTCTTACCTCTGAGTCACATGTTTGGGTCCAAAGCTCCTCTTCCCCCTTCCTTCCATAATTTCCTTCATTTTTTTCCCCTAAATTATTCCTCATAAAATCAGACCACTGAAATTTTTCAAATACAGACATGTATAGGGCAGAGAGAGACGGCTGCCCCTTCATTCCCTTCCTCCCTTTAAAGAAGACGTTCTTGAAAAGTGGAGACAGTCCCCGGTAAGAGTCCCCTTGGGAGGGGGGGGGGCAGAAAAGGCCAAATGGAGAAAGATCTAGAAACCCTCACCATCCTTTCTGTGCTGGGGACTTTCTTGTAGAAGGTTTTCTCTGTGTCTCCGATCCACACCACGGAGGGCTGGAGCTCCCGGGCCACCTGCAACGAGAAGGAGAGACTCGGCTATAAATGCATTTCTCTCTTGGTCCCCAACAGACAGCAGGACTCGGTGGCTCCCCGAGACGGCTCCTAGGGGTGGGGGGGCCTGGAGGGGCTCCAGGGCACGACCGCACCCCTCCTGCACAGCAGGGCGGGGGCACCACCCTGCCTCCTCTCCCACCTTCCGGGCGGGACACACACCTGCGCTGCCCATTCTGCCCTCGGACCCGGATCCTCAAATCAGGTTGGCTTGAAATAAGCCAGTTGTGTTCTGCTGCAAAGAAACGGGCATTTGGACCTCGAGTTTTAATTACAGCCTACTTGCTGCTCCCAGGTTCATTCAGATTCGCTCATCACGAGAAAATCTGTTTCAGCTCAAGGGGCTCCTGTGACACTATTTGTTCGCCGCTGTGCGGCCGAGCCTTTGTGGCCGAGGTTTTGCCTGGAAGGTGGCTCTGAGCCCCTCCACGGCAGGCAGGGCTTTGCGCCAGTGCTGGGCCTTACCGTGGGCCTGTGAATAATTGCCACTCACCGAACAATCTCTTCAAAGCGCCCCCACGATAGCAAAGTTCGGGTATTTTTGCAACAATTTGTGCTTTGTGCAAAATTGTGACAGATAAAAGCCGTCTCCGGCCACAGCAAATAGAGCGTTATGTACTCCTATTTTTGTATTTCTTAAACCGTCATTAAGTCAGCAGGCGTGAGTTTTAACCAAGACAGGCATTTTAATAAATGACGGAAAAATCACTAGGCGCACCGTGGCCGTGTCTGTTCCTGCAGCATTAGGTGCCGGGGGAAGCGGATTATGCACGCTTAAAGACAGGAGTGCGTGGAACTTGATCCTGGTGCCAGTCTGACCCCTGGGCCGTGTGCCTTCACGGCCCCACGCTCACCAGCACGTTCAGAGAGGAAGCAGGACTAGCCGGCCGCTGTTTGGTAGGCCTTAATTTTTAGACACAGAGCCACAGAGTTTAAGAATCCAGGATCGCAAACTGTAATCCTGGTTCCTAGGTGGCGTGGCGGGGCGTGATCATCACGGCGAGTCAGCGAGCGGCTGTGTGCCTGGCCAGGGCCACACGCGTCACACACGGCAGCACACACAGCGCCCACACGGTCAGGGCCAACGCTGACACGGCATGGAACCAGCACGCCCTCCACTTGATGACAACTCGTTCATGCTACGGCCCTGGGCGGCTGGTGCCACTCTGCTCAACCAGGTTTTACAGATGGTGAAACTTAGTGGGAAGACGTGAAGGGACCTGGTCCAAGTTCACACAGCTGGAGAGTGAGTGGCAGAAGCAGCACGCAAGAGCAGGCTGCCGGCTGCAGAGTCTACTGGAAGCACGGTCACGCCCACAGGTTCCCTCCTGTACGCAAGCCAGACCCTTGGCCCCCCTCCGCAGCTGTCCATTCTCTGGGCTCCTTGCCGTCGGCCCCCCGACTTTACAATGTGGCCGGCCTGCTGCAGAGGGCGGGCTCCACGGAAGCATTGTTCTGCTAAAAGCTATTTTAAGTCCAAAGCTTCCCTACTTCCAGCCCCCAAAGAAGATAAAATGAGATGCTGGGTTTTAAGCTTCTTAGAAAAGAGACACTTTATAATGACAAAGGCAAAATCTTATTCTTTTCACGCCCTCTGAAAAATCGTGGCTTTGGAAGAGAAAGCAGCAGTTTTCACATAAACCGTTGTCTACGGTCTTTGGCTAATCGTGTGCTCGCCGGGGCAGCGGGCCTCCCTCCTCCCGTGTCCGCTTGGCAAGCTGCAGGTTTTCCACAGCCCGCTTTTCTTAATGGGAATTGCACATGTGAGCACCAAGAAATTCTGTGTGACTTTTCTCCTTCTGCTTCTAATGAAGTAAGCAACACTGAGGGTCCTGAAATGCAGGAGTCTTCTTAGCTTGGGATAATTTCAACACCAGCCGTCTTGCTTCCAGCACCTGATTTAAAGTTGTTTTGGTCACAGTGTTGCATTGAATGTGCCGGCTAACAACTGTCCCGTGAACTTGTCTGCGCCTTCGGAGCTCGTTGGGGAATTACACACTTCCTGTAAGTTTGCACCCGCACCTGTGAAGGAATGGCTTCGACAGGACTGTTCACCTGCTTTGGGGCCCATGGGGCTGTGTGGAGGACCTTGGTGGGGATGTGGTTTGGAAGGGGTCAGTTCTTATCAAATGAAACAGAAGACGTCTCCCCAGTGAGTGCTTTGACGATAACAATACAAGGAACAATCGTGTGCCAAGTGCCTGGATCTCCATATGCCATCATGGCTATCCTCACTCGCCGTGTGCCCCATCCCGTGCCAAGCACGTCCCAGCATCTCCCCCTTTATATACGAGGTCACTGGTTGGGGGGGTAACGTGTGCACCGGCACTGGAGAGAAATGTTGGAACCCAGAGTCAGACGTGGGTCTGCCTGACACCCCGGGGACCTTCTATTAACCCGGGGTCACACTGCCGTGTCGCCATGGTAGACAAGACGCCCGGTCAAAAGCATCTCATTCCCCTTAACCCATTTCCTTCTCTGTCCCCTGTCATTCCAGCAGGAAGAACTCTAAAACCATTACTGCTTGCCCTCCTGAGCACGCATTTTCCATTTTCCCGACCTTCTGCAGTTGTGAGCTGGCCCGAGGACACCTGGCAGCTGTGCTCAGCTCCGGGCAGGGAAGAGAGGCACGGAACCTGGGCACCCCCATGCGGACAGCCGCTCCCACTGGGAACCGTCTAAGGGATGAGACTTTTCCTTGGAGAAAAGAAGACTCAAGGGGGAAACGAGCTGTTTTCAAAGAGTCAAAAGGCTGTCGTGGGAGACAAAGATTGGCTTTACTGTTTTGAGCCCAGAATGAGAGCGGTTCTCCCATGTCTCCCTTCATTAGGGCTTGCGGAGGAGCTCTGATGTGCCAGGTGCCGTGCTCAGTGCTGGGCTCCCTGCCCTCTAGGCCCTGCCTGTGGGCAGAGAGGGCAGCTTGTGAGGGGGGCCAAGGAAAATGGGGTGTCAGCAAGGATCACTAATGACAGAAGGAAGGAGAAGTGGGTCAGACTGGCGGCCAGGAATGGAGATCACAGACAAAGGTTAGAGCAGGGCTTCTAGCGGTCTCTAGGAGATCACAGAGCCTAAAGAAGGGGACACATTGGCCATGCTGGGGACAGGAGCCAGGGCGCAGGGCTAAGTGTGCCCTCATGGGACTGCTCGGGGTCACAGAGGCATCACCATGCTACAGAGCTTGCTTTCATCCTGGAAGCCGTGGACGGTCTGTAAGGACTTGAATCAAGAACTTTGATCCTAGTTGTGTTCTAGAAAAATCCCTCCGGTGGGTGTGTGAGGCATGACGGGCTGGGCAGCTGTTCCTGGGGGACCTGGGAACGTGGTCTGTGGGCATGTGGGAATGGATGGTGGGGGCTCGCAAGTGAGGGAGGAGAGTGGATGAGCCCGGCACGGGCTGTCGGGAAGGGCCACGGGTGAAGACACTGATTCAGCAGGAGGGCTCGGGCTGAGGGGGAAGAGCAGTGGCCAGAGAGAACAAGGGGCACAGAAGAGAGAGCGGTCCCCTGAGCCCAGGGAGGTCAGAGGCGCAGAAAGGCAGTGGGCAACAGTGGCCAGTGTTGGCCCGAGGGTTTGGCATTCTGGAGGCCACTGGTGGCCTTGGCAGGGTGTGGAGGGGACAGAAGCCAGGTGACACGGGGCCGAGGTGTGAATGGCCAGAGACTGAGACAGGGAGCGTTCTTTCAGAAGGATGGGGAGCATGGAGACCTGAGGTGGTGCGGGCTGGGAGGGCAGTCAGGAGAGGATGGCCCTGGAGGGAGCAGGGCTGTCCCCCTTCCCCGGGGAGAGGCAGGGATGGATGGTTGCTGGCACAGGCTGCACGTCTCTGAGACTAGGGATATTTGCAGATACAAGGGGCAGACAGATCAAACTTTGAAAACATGGATATTCGTGGAAATTTGGTCCTTTCTTACTGTTACTGCAACAGCAGTATTCATTAGCAAAATTTTCAGAATACATATTCAGACACATAGACAACTAGACAACACTCTTTGCCTCCTCCATTCAAGTGAATCGTCAAACATCTCCTGTCTTTACGGACCATCTTCGACATGCATATTTGCCAAAATGAGATTGTGCCTCAAACACTGCATTACGTTCTGGATCACCCAATATGAAATTTATTTCTCCAACATCATTTTAACATGAAGTCCCATAATTTACTGAGTGAACCTCCTGTTTCTGAACCTTTGGGAGGTTTCTGCCTTCTTACGAGATTAAACAGTGTTTTGATGAGTTTTGGGGGCACATGATGGGTCATTCCCTTAGAACAAGGCCACACCTGCAGCTGCTGGGTCTCAAGGCTTGTGTTGTTCAGGTTTTCGCCGATGTTGTCAACCTGCCCTCCTGGAAATTCTCTGCTTACACTCTCTCCAGCCGTAGGTAAGTGGATCTGTTTTTCTACATGCCTCTCCTTAACGAGTATTAACAATAAAAAACTCTTTGCCAATTTGTTAATGAAAAATGGTATCCTTTGCTCTTTTAATTTTCAGTTAGCAATGAAAAGCCTTCATTTAAATTACCCACAGATAGTTTGAGGTCATGGGCAATTAGATGTAATTAATTCATAATTGAACTTTTCAGAAGTTACACAGAACGGTTCCCTCCAGCTGCCGGTAGAGGGCTCTTCAGTCCTGTCAAATATAACTGCAGGGCTTCAGTTAGTGTCAATTCAGGCGTGAAGGCGAATTTCCAGCAACAAGTGTTTTTTTTTTCCCCCAAATTCTGGGGAGCTCTATCAAACAATTAAAGACTTCTCCTTCCATGTGAGTTTGATGGCTTTGATTTTTGTAATCTCTAAAGAAATGCTGTCACCATCAGAATGAGATTCTCCTGGGTTACATTATGATGGCTCCCTGGTGAAAAATGTATCTGGCATGCTTGGATTACTATGGTTTGCCCAAATGACTCCTGGAAGCTTTGGAAGTTCTCTCTGAAGAGGTCCTGTTTTGCTTGCCTTAGAG